ATCCGTATCTGCTCTTTTCCGTCCATAGAAACTAATGGGAAGCTGCTATTCCGCCTTCGACCACTAGAGGGGGATATTTTGTTTCTTTTTTTCTTAGGTCAAGAAAGGTTCAGGGAAGGCAGGGAAAATACAGTCCAGGCAGTACAGTACCAGGCAGTCTGAAGACTGTCTCCCAATCCACTCTCTAAACGCTGAGAGGAGTGAGGAAGCAGACAGGCACCCTTTTCACTGGCCAACAGTTAACTGAAAGTTCACATTTTGCACTTTCCCTGCCTCCCACGTGGGTTTTTTTCAGTTCTTAACTCAAATCTAAGTATGTAAGTCAAGTCAATATTTTCCTGTGAGAGTGGTTCTTAAGTCAAAATGTTCTTAACTCAAGCTGTTCTTAAGTCAAGACCCCACTGTAGTCTTTAAAAACGGGTTATTAATTTTGCTTATTTTATATTTCTTAATCATACCTAATAGATGTTTTTCAATACCCACCTGTAATTCTAATGATTCCATTTCCCACCAAATTAACCTTTCTGAGTTATATATAATTTCCCCTATGAACCTCAACTGATTAGCCAAATTTTTTTTTATATATTTGGTATGCCTATACCTACTTTTGTTGTTGCTTTATATCAAAACTTTTTATTTATTCTGGCTCTCTTTCCTTCATTATAGTATTTATTAATCATCCCTTGCAAAAATTTAAAATCCTCTTCTGTTAACTGTACTGGTAATATTCTAAATAAAAAAATTAATTTTTGGTGGAATCTTCCTTTTTATTAGCGCAATCGTTAGTATATTCCTGTAGTTTCTTTTTAATATCTTCTTTTAATTTATTATAATTATGTTCCTTTATTTTTTGAAGATCTTTTACTAACTCTGTACCTAAATATTTAACCAATTTACATATCTTAATGTTATATTTATCAACAAACTTTTCTTGTTCTAATTTATTATGAGTAAACAACGTTATTTCAGATTTTTGCCGATTAACACGTAATTCAGTTATTTCTTCAAATTT